TGTATGTATGTATGTATATATATATATATATATATATATATATATATATATATATATATATATGAGAGAGAGAGAGAGATAGAGTATATAAGAAATGTATAATAATATTACTATGCGCACAAGATATATGTACCCAACCGACACACTGTAAAATTGAAAGATGGTTTTATTTGTTGTTTTTGTTGTAAAAAAAAAACTTTTTCAAAAAAGAAAAGAAAACAAGCAAGCTCAGAGAGCATCAAGGACCCCCCATAGTTCAAAGACCTCCATAGACTTTATTGACCTACTGCCTTCTAGATATGCATGGAAATCATAGACCTGAAGTCCAGAACATTTGAACGGCATCAGTGACCAAAACAAGAATACAGAAAGTTTGGTTTGGAAGTAGCTGCATATCAGAACATAAACCCCTGTCTTGCGGTGGATTTGGATAATGGGATTCAACAGAAAACAAAATTCAGAGTTTGGCACAGAACATGTATATTCAAAGACTTAGCCGTTTTCATCTCTCTGAAAACTCTTTAATAGCTCTTGTTTTTCATTAGCCCAAGTGACCCTTTAATAACATAGCATAAGGTTGACATCTCATTTCTTTTGCTCTTTCTTTTTAAAATGAATTTTCTAGTCTTTGCAGGATGCAGGAGCAAATTGTGTCTCTTCTCAGGAAGCAGCTACCTCCTACAGTTACTCTCAGAAGGTAAATTTTTCTGAGGACATAACTTGGTGTCAAGAAGAGTTTCACTGTTCTGAAGATCTCAAAAGTGTTTGTGAAACAAACATTTTAACTTAACTTTGATAAAAGAAATGAGACATTTAGGTAACTAAAATGGAAATTCACTATTGAATTTCTCCCAAAGTTGTCTTCAAACTCCAGTGCTGTGTTTCACAACCTCGACATCTTTAAGATGTGTGGACCGTGTCATGTAAAAGATGTTGAGACTCTAGAAAGAATAGAGAGAAGAGCAACTAGGACTGGAGTGACAGCAGGACAAGAAACAACAGATGAAAATTAATCAAGGAGAGAAGCAACCTAGAACTAAGAAGAAATTTCCTGACAGAACAATTAACCAGTGGAACAGCTTGCCTCCAGAAGTTGCATCACTGGAAGTTTTTGAGAAGAGATTGGACAGTCACTTGTCTGGAATGGTATAGGGTCTCCTGCAGTGGATTGAACTAAAACACCTCCAAGGTTCCTTCCAATTCTGTTATTCTGTTACTCCAACTTCTAAAATTGGCTAGCAAGGGAATTCTGGGAGTTGAAGTCCACACCTCCTAAAGTTGCTGAGGTTGAGAAACACTTCTCCAGTGTTTAAAGTGACTTCAGGAGAAAATTATTCAAGGGGATTAATCACGCTAATTGTATTGATCATAGTATTTAGTTACTCTGTCTGCCATATCATTCAAATACCAATTTAGTTACTTTCTCTTCCATATCATTCAAAGTATGTTCCTTCCTCCCCAGTGGTGCCCTCCAACCCAGCTGCTTCAAAGCTGTGTCATTTATACAACCATGGTGGCTTCTTAAAGGCCAGAGTAGTTTGAAGAAAAATCAGAAAATTGCTAATGTTTTGTATCAGATTTCACTGCAAATGATGCTTTGTTATAGCAGACATCTGTGTAATTCGCCTCAGAAAATTCATACTCTACTAGGTTGACAAAATTTAGGATGTTTTAAAATTAGAGTCACTTGGCCCATATGGCATTCAGATAAGAAGTGTAGAAGTGAATTTTTACTTATTACTTATTAGTTTATTATAAGTATTATTTATTAAATTTATACACAGCTCATTTCACTCACTGATGCAACTCTTATCAGCATGCATGCTAGTAATGCTAAACTATAGTTTATTGTTACACTCAAATTGGGTTAATTACATTGAAACCTATTAATTACATCAGAAAATACTTCATACTGCAAAATCATTTGTTCCCGAGATGCCTTGTGTTTTATGTTTGAATTTTGCCATTTGGTGAAAAGATGCTGACCCTTCTGCCTCCTCTTTCATAGCTCATGGTAAATTCTGCCATTATATCCAGCTCTTCCTGTGTGAATACAGCTCCAGCCACCATTTTTTCTTCCAGCTGCAGTGCTTCAACTCAAGTCACTATCACTGCATCTGCTCCCCAGAATGCTGTTCCACCGATCTTAGTAACCTCTTCTGTAGGAAGGCCAGGTAGAATATTGATTTCACTTGAAGTATTTCTGGAAAATGCTTAGAGTTTATGGTTCCTGACTACCAGATGGTTTTTGAATAAGAATGATTGTTTAGTCCCTAGACATTGAAGTAAGTTCACTTGATCTTCTGGAGGAGCCAAATGTATTTAGGCAATAAAGTTACAGGGAAGAAGAACAATTAGTCAATGGAACAGCTTGTGGGTGCTCCATTGCTAGAGATTTTCAAGAGTAGACTAGATAACCATTTCACTGAGATGGTTTTATTGTCTCCTGCCTTGAGTTGGATGGGACCAGAAGACCTTCACAGTCGCTTTCAATCATATGTTTCTAAGTCAAGTCCTTCAGAATAGAGCCTTTTAAGGGGTTGGTTATACTGTGTTTTTTCATTTGTGTGTGCAAAATTTTGACTTCATTCCATATTTTAGAAGATACTTGGCAGAGACAGCAAGATCAGATCTATTTAGGTTCTCAATTTGACTTGGATTGTTGATCCAGTTTAAATTTATTTTGAGAACTCTGAGTGGGATTACTTAAATTTCCCCAATGGATTCATTGCATAAATTTTAGGGTCTGTTTTGTGGATTCCACTGCTTTCAAAATTAATTTAACATTTGTCTCCCCACTTTTCAAATAGTTGTGTCAGTGTATCAGTCACCTCCCCTTCCTCCTGCCAGTGATGTGGGGGGAAATGGCAGTGTTACACCCCCTTATTCTTGTGATCCGAGTGGAAGTGACCTGCCTAGAGGTAAGATATCATTTTCTCTGACACCTGGGAGTAATTTTAGCTGCATAAAATGAGTCAATTTTAGAGATGCTTATGGAATTACATTTTATTATATGCATTAACTAGTTTGGACTATCCAGATTAAAGTACAATGTGGGACTTCATTATCTAGCAGGTTTTGAATGCCAGAAAATTCTGATTCAGTTATTTTGGCTTGGAGAAATCCTTCAAATATGTTTAAAGGCATATTTTTGTAAGAGTATGAATTTAAAATATGGAGTTGTATTAAATGTGCTTTTGCTTAACTGCTGTGACAAGGGAAACATAATCATGGATGTATCCAAGTGTTTGGAATACAGTTTGAAATAGACCAACTGGTTTTGTCTCTCTAAGCTTTGGCGTTGGTGCTATCTGAGTTTCATTGGTGTAAAAAGCTACCCATCAAACACATTATAAGAGGGAATGGATTAGGAAAATGGCTTAATTATATGGTTCTTCCTTTTCCAAATCCACTATGGTAAAAAAAATGCTGAGGCTGTTTTGCAAAGAAAACAAGCTTTTTAATAGGAACTCCATGACTTCAGAGTTGTATTTCATTTGAAGTTTGCAAATAGGGAGTCCTTGGGTTATGACCATTTGTTCAGTGACTGTTGAAAGTTACAATAGTGCTGAACTACTGGTATTTATGACCAGTCAGAGTTTTGACTGTTGTGGCATCCCCACAGTTATGTAATTGTGATTTCTGATGTTCCCTGAGAGCATTCCACAAACAAAGTCAATGGGGAAGCTGACAGAAAGTCAAAAGTTGCAGTCACATGAGGTCCTCACTTAAAAATCCACGTACTCCTTGCTTAAAACAGCCTGCTCATATCACACTTTTATGACCATGTTTCTTAGCAATGGCGGTTTCAATCCCAATTGCCGTTGTACACTGAGGAGTACCTGAACACGGTGGGTCAGGAATTGACTGTAATCAAATAAATTGAAAGCCAGTTACAGGGCTATATGCTTGCTTCAACTCTATATTTGCAAATAGAATGTATGTTGTATTAGATTTTTAAAAGGATATAACAGTATTGACCAAGCATTCAAATATTGAAGTTAATAAATATAAATAGAAAAACAGAGTTGGAAGGCACCTTGGAAGTCTTCAAGTCCAACCCCCTGATTAGGCAGGTAACCCTATACCATTTCAGAGAAATGGTTGTCCAATCTCTCCTAAGTATAATTTGCAAATAGAATTTATGTGGTGTGTTGTATAAAAATTTTAAAAAGTATAATATGCTTTGAAATGCTGATGTTAATAAGTATAACATTAGTTAGATTTTACCTTCAAAACTAGCAGCTGCAAATTACATCAATATATGCATTGTGCAACAAAGTTTTCTGTTTTTTTAGCTGAATATTTAACACTAAGGTTCCCACTAAATTGTTCCTTATTGTTGCTTGTGCATGTTGCAAAAGAAACAGCAGGTACACAGAAAGCAAATTAGGCAACAACAACAACTTAAAAAGGGAAATGGGCTATTCAGTTTCTAGCTTCCTTCTTGTGCTTCTGCTAATCTGTGGTGTTACATAAATAATTAGGACAGGGAGTTCTAACATTCAATGGTTTAAAAGTAAAGTATACACAAGAAAAGGTGAAATAGATTGCAGAAGGATGATTCAATAATGTATTTTTCACGTGCTGTGATCTGTCCTAACAGTTGGCATATAATAATTCTTGTGAGAAACCGAGCTGGAAAATTTAGCTGTCAGACTTAGTTGTTTTTCTAGGTATTATGCACATTTCTTTTCTTTTTTGTTTTTATTCCTTTATAGTCTACACATTGCAGATTTTGGTTCACCTGATGTCATGGATACCTCCTTCTACTTGTAGTCCTTGCCTACAATTCATTTAACAACCGTTTCCAAGTTACAAAAGCACTGAAAAAAGTGATTTATGACAGGTCCCCACACTTAAACCATTGCAGCATCCCCATGATCATGTGATCAAAATTTGGTTGCTTGGCAACTGGCATGTATTTATGATGGTTGCAGCATCCCAGGGTCACGAGATCCCCATTTGCGACCTTCCCAGCAAACTTCTGACAAGCAAAGTCAGTGTAGGAAGCTGGATTCACTTAATGGCTACATGATTCACTTAACTGAAACAATTCACTTAATAATCATGGCAAAATTGGGCGTGACTTAAAAGTTGCCTTGCTTATCAGCAGAAATTCTGGTCACAATTGTGGTTGTAGGTCAAGGACCACCTGAATATGAACTGAACTACATCTGCCCTTTTTTGAAGGGGGAAGATGGATTCACTTAATAATTGCAGTGATTCACTTAACAACCATGGCAAAAACAGTTGTAAAATCGGGCACATCTCACTTAACAACTGCCTTGCCTAGCAAGGGAAATTTTGATCCCAGTTGGGGTCATAAGTCAAGCAAGTATAGCTACAAAAACACCACAATGCTCTCTCCCAGTGCAGAATTAATCAAACTAATGGATTTTTCTAAAATTGATTTTCTTTTCGTAACCACAGTTGTTTAGTAAACTAATATTTAAATGCTAACTATGTGGGAGAAAATATATGTAAAGTAATTTTGATGGACAAACATGAGAAAAATGCAAATATTCACACCTTCTAGGATGTATATGAAATGCAGTGACCAAGTTTTTTTCTTTTTTAGATCCAAAGGTTTTGCAGTATTATTTTAATTTGGGCTTGCAGGTAGGTGCTCTATAAAAGTCTAGTGGTACAACCACCTTTTGTGAGAGTGGGATGTCAGTCTTTGGTAGATGCAGATGTTTTTCAGAATTTTCTGAAGTCTGACAGGGAATCTTTCTTTGAAGTCTACACAAGACCTGCAGCTGTTCTTAAAAGATTATAAATATATTGCTTTTATCCATGCTGACTTCCTAAGCTGCTGCTCTCTAGTTAGATAAATATTTCCCAGTGCTGACAAGCAGATTGTAAGAGAAGCAGTGCTGATGGGTATGACAAGAGTTACATTACTTCCTTAGAGCATACCCATTTTCTTTTTTTGTTAATGTTTACAAAAGAAATAGATTCCCATTCTTCTTCTGTATTATTTGTCTCACGCATAAAGCACAGAAAAATAATTTCTGATCCTTTGTAAAGGTTGTTGTTTTAACCATTTAGTTGTGTCCAACTCTTGGTGACTTTATAGGCAGGTGCTCTGTCAAGCACAGCTTCTTTCAGTTGTTGGATAGTCATCATTGTATCAGATTTGTAATAGCCCTTAAATAGCACTTAGATTTCCATACCGCTCCACAGTGCTTTTACAGCTCTTGCTAAGCAGTTTACAGAGTCAGCCTCTTGCCCCACAACAATCTGGGTCCTCTCTTTACCGACCTCGGAGGGATGGAAGGCTGAATCAATCTTGAGCTAGTCAGGATCGAACTCCTGGCAGAGTTAGCCTGCAATACTGGATTCTAACCACCATGCCACCCTGATGGTTATTATAAGTAATACTGTAACTAAATAGTTTATAAACAGCAAATAGCTCTATTGATTCCTGTAACCTTACCTCTTCCATCTCAAATAAATCTTGCTAAAGAGAAGAAAATTCCGTTTGGAAAGAATTTTAGGCTGCCACTAAACAGCTTGACCACATTTTAGAACAAAGCATTCCTGTAAATGGTCTGCTGACTAGGATTAAGTTGTGTTTTGCCCTGGATCCAGTGTCTTGTGTAAAACAGTTGATTTATGCAGGGTACTTCTTAAGTAGATCTAAACGGTCAGATTTTAAAAGCTACTTTGCCAGCCTGGGCAGAAGTAACTCACCTATTTAAAATTTGATTTTCTTGCCTTGAATTGTGTTAGTATTACCACCAGACCTGCTGGAACCCCGTGATGTATGTACAGCAATCACCGTCACCACCACCTCATGTGGAAACCTACCAGACCTATTCAGAGCAAGTCTCTGTGGTTGATTCATCAGCACCTCTGCCTTACAATGAAGTAGGGAGGAACGATCTGAGCCAGATGCCTGCAGACGCCTCATCAACCGGTTGGTCTCTGTCTATTTTAAGTTTAAGAAGGTTGAGTTGAGTGTCACCAACTTAAATTCGGCATGGCAAATTCAATACAGGTAGTATTACCTTAATTGAGCTCAAAATTTCTGTTAAGTGAGACATTTGTTAAGAGAGTTTAACAAATTCTGGTCGTAATTGTGATCATATGTCAAGGATTACTGATACATTCATAGCTTCCACCCAGCGTTCAACCAGAGTGATGAATGGCCCGTTTGAGGCCAAGTCATAGCAATAGCAATAGCACTTAGACTTATATACTGCTTCATAGTGCTTTACAGCCCTCTCTAAGCGGTTTAGAGAGTCAGCCTATTGCTGCCAACAATTTTGTTAACCTGGTTATCTGTCTTATTTTTTTTGAACTTTTTTTTACCTCTTTATAGCATAATTCCTTCTAGTAACTTCATTAATGATAAAGTTAGTATTTTATTTCATTTTAGACCATTTTGGTCTAAATGTAATGTAATAATAATGAAAAGAAGCATAATTAACTCATTCTTTACCAGTGCAGTGAGACTCTGGTAAACAAGATCAAAACAAAATGATTTTGTAGATCTAATATAACCTTTGAATAGTTTAAAAAGGTAAAGGTAAGAGAGTCCCTGTGGATTTTACTCTGCTAGTTGTTGCTGGCTACAGAGGGCAGTGCTCATCTTTATTTCAAAGCCATTGAGACAGCGGTGTTGAAGACATTTCTGTGGTCACATGGCCAGTCATGGAGCACTGTTAGCTTCTCACTAAAGTGGGAGCTGGGCAAGGATGGGAGCTTTCCCCAATCTTGCGGCACTCGGGTCTCGAACCTGGGCTACTGGTTTTCTAGTCAACAAGCTCAGCTTCTTAACCTAACCACTGAGTCATTGCACTGCTCTGAATAATTTAAAATGATAAAGATACTCAGCTGAATTCCTGATGACTTGTCAGGACATAGTTATGTAACAAGATGGAAGTAATTTGCTGTTTCCTTTTTTGTGTGTGTAGTATCTAATTGTGGGATTCATCTGCTGTAAGTATAGGTAGTCCTTGACTTCCAGCCATTTGTTTAGTGATCGTTCAAGGATACAACAGCACTGAAAAAAAAGGGGGATTTATGACCGTTTTTCACACTTAAGACTGTTGCAGCATCCCCATGGTCATATGATAAAAAATGGAGGCTTGGCAACTGGTTTGTATATATGAAGGGGTTATGTGGTTATCTTTTATGACCTATTGACAAGCAAAATCGGTGGGGAAGCCAGATTCATTTAATGAGTACAGTGATACACTTAACTGTGGCATGGCAGACTGGGGCAAAACTCACTTAACAACTGTCTCCTTTAGCAACAGAAACTTTGGGCTCAATTGTGGTCATAAGTTGAGGACTATCTGTATTTCTCTGTATACTTTTTGAATATCAGTCAAATATTCAAAAGAAGATTGAGCTTCTACCTGCTCTAGGCCAGGCAAAGATGTAAGCTCCTCAGTTATCCTGAGCTTTGGATTATAGTTTCCTTCAATAATCCAGTTACAAGTCTGCCACTTTCCAATTTTAATAATAATTCCAGACTTTGCAGTAATACCAATATATTTTCTCCCTGAGGAGCATGGAGGGGGAAAAAGACAGCTGTGGTGAGAAATAGCATTTTTCTTTTTGATTAGAAAAATGAACTGTTCTCTTTCCTGCCAGGAGATATTCCTTGGAGCTGCTCTGAGGTTTTATTTTGTTTTTTAAAAAAGCACCTGAGGGAAAGCAATTCTGCGGCAGAACACGTGACACACAGTTCATCGTGGAAAGGTTCCTCATTTAGCACATATTCAGTTCATACTAAACACTGTTGGAACATAGATTTATTCAGTCACTGGGATCGCTTGAATTAAGTATTTGCTTTGCAATTATGGTACTGCAGGAATGGAATTTCATGCTTCAACATGAGTAACAGCGGCAATAATCATTTGCTTTCTGTTTTTTTATGTGTGCTTCAACATACAGTGCGTGCTGTGGAAAAGATGAGGATTTTATGTAGTTAGCTAAAATTGACAGTCTTGCAAATTGCAATATGTACAGGTAGTCCTTGGCTTTGTCCACAATTGAGTCCATAATTTCTATTGCTAAGCAAGATTTACTCCATTTTATGACCTGTCTTGCCACAATTGTTAAGTGAATCACTGCAGTTGTTAAGTAACTAACATGGTTGTTAAGTGAATCTGGCTTGCTTGTCAGAAGGTCAGAAAAGGGACACTGCAACTATTATAAATACATGCCAGTGGCCAATTTTGATCACGTGGCTGCAGGAATTCAGCAATAGTTGTGTGAAAAAGTTGTAAGTCACATTTTTCAGCACCATTATACAGTCTTCATACAGTCACTAAATCAATGGTTTTAAGTTGAGGATTACTGTAGTACAACTTTAACCCAGTTTGATATTGTCTGGACACTTGGTTATTTATTTATTTGTATCCAACTTTTATTATTTTTTCAAATAACTCGAGGAAGCGAATGTATAGAACATAGCTTTCTCTTCCTATTTTCTCCACAACAACCCTGCAAGGTGGGTTGAAAGAGAGTGACTAGCCCAAAGTCACCCAGCCATCTTTCATGGCCAAGGAGGGATTTGAACTTGTCTCTCAGTTTCTAGCCTGGTGCCTTAACCACTAGACCAAACTGGCTCTCATCCACTCAGCATGGTTGTTTTATCAGGTAGGGGAGGATGATGGAAGCTGTCCAATACAGTGGTGGTTGATAAATTGGGAGAGACTGATGGGTTTAATTGACAGATAAATCCACCTAATATAGTTATATAATTCAAATCACTGTTGTAAGGTCTGAAAAACCAAGCTGGGGACAGATTCTGGAAAAGGGTTCCATGATTGAGAAGACTTGGTGGCATGAGGTGTTATAGGTGTCTTAAAATGAGGACTAATAGACTGAGAAACAGTTTCTTTTCCAAGGCAGTAATTGTCTTGAATCAAACAGTGCATTTGTGATTTAGTCCTATTATTATTATTATTTTAATTTTTAAATACTCTGTAGTGTGACTGTGATGTGGTGTTTGGGGCACTGTGCTGGAGTAGCTTTCAAATTTCATTCTATTCGTGGAATGCAATGACAATAAAAAGAATTAATCATTGGGGGATGAAGAAGATGAAGAAAACGGAGGTCTTGACACATGTGTACATGTGATTTAATTCAGTGGTTTTCAGTCTGTGGATCCTTGGGGGTCCATGATGTCATCACATGGGGTCCACAAAGGCCTGAAGAAACATGATTAAAATATTTCTGGGGGTTCATGGCCACAAAAGCTATTTAAAGGGGGGTCCCTGGTGAAGAAAAGGTTCAGAACCACTGATTTAATTGATTCTGTTCTGTAAGAAAGCAATGCAAGCCATGATTTAGTTCAGTGGCCTAAGATTTAGTCCCTTAAAACGATACCTTTATTGAGGTCAATAAAGGATATATAGAATTAGGTTCAATGAGATCAATTAAGCAACTCCAAACATTTCTTTACAATCAATTTCCAATCTGATAATTAGAACAATGTTTAGGACCTTAACCATTTAATTATTTAAAGGTCCAAGAAATGCATCCTCTGCTGATCTTTTATATGCAATGTTTTCCCCTTTTTCAGGTGCCTTAGCCATCCCAGAATCCTCTTCACCTTCTGGAACTGTCTATTACCCTGTGGTAACAGACACGTACACCCCGTCTCCTGTGCCTGGATACGAATCTTGTGTCTCATTTGTGCCTGCATACCACTGCATCAGTTCTTGGTATCCAGTCAATGCATCCTATGGGAACTCAGCTCGAATCCATAACAATATCAATCCCAGCCATTTCCACCAGGTTAACTACGTCACCTCATCCAATCCGCAACCACATTTTGTAGCTCAAAGCATGTAGATTCAGAAGGATCAAATCTGGGAGCCTTCCCCTATTTGGAATTATAATTCCCAGAATGCCATGGCACACCCAACTGCCTAGAATTTAAACTAAACCAGCAGTCTTCAACCTTGGCAACTTTTAAGACTTGTGGACTTCAAGTCCCAGAATTTCCTAACCAGAACATGAATTCTGGGAATTGAAATCCATAAGTCTTAAAGTGGCCAAGATTGGAGACCCCTGATCTAAAGGTTATCCACAACTCTTCCAGCATTTTATGTTAGATGGTTCATTTCTTGTCCTTCTACCATACTGTTCCATTTGCTAACCGTGTTGTGGTCAGCAAGGAGATTTTATTTTTTTTCATGTTTTGTTTCAATGTTGATTTGTATTTGTGGTGGGGAAAGGGTGCAGTCTTTAGCACCTTAGTGCCATGGACAATGCTGTAAAGTTAAATTTTCATTGGTTATTGCTGCATCAAAAGAGCATCTAATGTGTTCAGAGGATTTTTGTTTAAATTATTGGCATTTTCTGCATCACAATAATGTTCATTAAGTCATTAGCTAAATGGCTTAACTCTGTAATGCTATTCTTTATCAGATTTCAGGGTATCATTTCCTCTTTAATATAAAGGCAACAGCAGTGGAAAAGAATGTCTGACATTAGAAATTTTGGACCATTTAATTTTGCTGATGCCACTCTACCTTGATTATAACACCTTTCCACAGTGTGTTTGGTTTAAAAGACAAAGTCATATTGACTGTTCTCTTTCTTTAGTCTGGGCTTCTGAAAGTGAAGACTTAAGCCTACTAAGATCTACTATTGTTGTAGTCTGAATTCTGTCTATCAAAATAATTTGCACTAATGGTGGTAAAATTGTGGGAGAGGGCTAGAAATTTGGCACTAAGAATACTAAATAAATTTTAAAAGCACAAAGGCTTGTCTAGTCTTTCTTTGTTTGAGTGAATGAAATGGGGTCAAGTATATTAAAAGTACCAGGCTGGATTTCGACACTTCAAATTACATCAGGTCAGGATAGAGACATCACCAAAAATAATGTGGAACAGTTTCAAATTGCTTTGATAAGACCACACTTGGAATACTATGGGGCTGCGATGGCTCACGTGATAAGAGTCTGGGCCTGTGCACTGCTGAGGTTGGCAGCTCAGTGGCTTGATTTCCCTGAGCAAGTAAACAGTGGAAAGACAAGAAAGGAGCCTCCCCTGATTGCCTACCGGCATTCAGGCACCCCGTGGGTAAAGATAACACCACCTGAAAAAATTCCATTCACAGAGGCAGCCAGCCACCTCAGTGATCCCTGGCTAACATGTGCCATACGTTAATTTTTTAAAAAATGGAATACTATGTCCAGTTTTGGTCACAACAAAGATGTTGAGACTTTAGAAAGAGTGCAGAGAAGAGCAACAAGGGCCACTGGAGACTAAAACCTGATGAATAGTTGCAGGAACTGGGTATGTCTAGTCTAATGAAAAGGAGAACAAGGAGTGAAGTGTTCCAATATTTGAGGGGCTGTCACAGAGAAGAGTGGGACAACATATTCTACAAAGAAACTGAAGGCAGGACAATAAATAACAGGTGGAAGATCAAAGAGAGATCCAACCTAGAACTCAGAAAGTTCCTGACAGAACAATCAGTGGAATGGCTTGCCACCAGAAGTTGTAGGTTTTTAAGCTGGAGGTTTTTAAGAAGACACTGGACAGCCATTTATCCAGAATGATAGAACGTCTCCTGCTTGAGCAGAGGTTGGACTAGAAAACCTCCAAGGTCCCTTTCAACTGTTATTCTGGTAAATAGATTCGAGTAACAGTATCTTGAAAGTCTGGTAGTGTTTCCTGTTCTCTCCCTCTTACATCAAGAATGTCAACTAGAGTCACTAAGTTTCTTTCTATCATCTTCCTTCCCCGGCATTAACTCATATTTTGCTAACAGTCTCTGCTGTCTTTTCCAAAATCACCTCTGTGATTCTCTACATCAGGGGAAAAGACAAAAGGCAGGTTGGAGACACTGAATTCTGTTTTTTGGAAAATTTAAAATACCACATCAAAAGACTCCCTTGGCATTTGTTCGGCTATGGAGTTGCTGGTTGCTTTACAGCATTTAATCTTTTCCTCTTTGTGTCCTGGGTGGTGTAATTGTCTTTTGCAAATTTCTGACAAGCAATATCAATGCAGAAGCCAGATTCACTTAACAACACAGGATTGTGAAAAATGGTTATAAGTCACTTTTTAAAGTGCCATTGTAATGTTGAACAGTCACTCCCTCCCTCCCTCTCCCTTCCCTCCCTCCCTCTCTCTCTGTACAAGTCTTAGAATTTGAAACACCTGCCTTTTGAGAAAAACTATGTTCTCAAGAGACAGGTGTTTCATGTTCTAACAGAGTTGTATAGACAGATAGACAGACAGACAGATAGCAATAGCACTTAGACTTATACACTGCTTTGTAGTGCTTTACACCCCTCTCTAAGCAGTTTACAGGTTAAAGAGTCAGCATCTTGCCTCCAACAATCTGGGTCCTCATTTTACTGACCTCAGAAGGCTGAGTCAACCTTGAGTCAGTCAGGATCAAACTGCTGGCAGTAAGCTAGCCTGCAATACTGCATTCTAACCAATGTGCCACCATGGCTCTTTATATTACACTTTTGTGCAATGCTGATCTAGCTGTATGTGCCCATCTGTGGTGTGTTACAAGCCTCCCTTATTGGCAGAAGCAACAAAGTTCTGAACACCTCAAATTTTCATTCATTCTAAGTTCCTCATGAGAAGATGAGAATACTTTGCTAGATAGTTAACATTTAAAATTGACATGGAATAAATTCTAGCTTCAGTATACAGCATCTAAACTGAACATGCAGAGGTAATAATCTTTTTTCATCAGATGGAGCTTCCAGCCAGGGAGACAACCTCTATCACCCCAAATGCACATAAAGTGCAGAGGTTAACAGACATTTTATCTAAATGCTGGTGGCTAAATGTTCTTTTACAGCACTTGGATCCAGTTTAAAAGGTTTCAGTTGTGAATTAAATAAAAGTGTGTTGAAGGTCCAAAGACTAAGAACTACTTTTTTAAGGTTGGCTGGGGAACTCTGGGAGTTGACGTCCACACATCTTAAAGGGGCTGAGGTTGAGAAATACTGCTGCATTGCTTTGTCTAATAAGACTAGTTCTGTATTTCCTGAAAGAACAATCAGTGGAACAACTTGCTTCCAGAAGTTGAGGTTTTTAAGAGATTGGACAGCCATATGTCTAAAATTGTATAAAGATTCTTGCTTAAGAAGGGGGTTGGCCTAGAACAGTGATCACCAACCAGTGGGCTGGGGACCACTGGTGGTCCGTGAGAAAATTATGGTGGTCTGCAGAGAAATGTCACCCCCAAAGCAATTAATCCAGGCTGTGCGGGAACACAAGGCTGCTCCGCCCACATGGCCTGTGGGAACACAAGGCTTGCATTGCTTGCATTGCTTAAAACATGAGGTAGTGAGGGGAGGGGGAAAGGGCAGAGGAGGGGGATTTGCCCCACTCACCCCACGTGCCTGGCCTGGCCATCGGGCTGCTTCTTTCTGCTTCTTTCTTCTGCTTTTGGCTGCATGCAAGGAAAGCAGCAAAAGTCTTTCTCTCCGTCAAACTCTGCCAGAAATGAGTCTTTGGGACCCTGCAAGGCATCCTGCTCCAAGAGGCTACACTGGCGCAACGTCTCACAAAGACTCATCTTTGGCGGAGTTTGGGGGAGAGAAAGAATGACTTCTGTTTCTGCTGCTTTCCTTGCATGAAGCCAAAAGTCTCCCTCTCAAATGGAGCTATATTCTGCGATCCCAAATAAAAAATGATTGGTGGGAAAACAGGGTGGGGAATTTTCCTGCAGACTTTTTTGGGGATTTTCCCAGGGTCTCTGGTCTGCGGGATTTAAAATTATGAGTTTGGTGGTCCCTGAGGTCCAAAAGGTTGGCAACCCCGGCCTAGAAGATCTCCAAGGTTCCTTCCAGTTCTGTTATTCTGTTAGATGTTTGGCTGCAATTTATTGCTTTATAAATTGGGTTTATTCCAGCAAATATTTAGTTTTCTGCAAAGAGCTCTTCTGTTAGGCAAGGGTGATGACTCATAAATCTGGATGAAAAATCTTGAGTTTTTGGACATATGTTGCATTAGAGTATTTTGACAAGTGAATGCCCAGCTATACCAATTTATGCAAGCTCGTACTGAAATTGCACGTTGCACGAGGTGTGCAGTTCCTGCTAAAAGATGCATTTCTCTGGATAGAGAATCTGGGAGCTGAAATTAATTATCAGTTGTTTGCAATGATTGGATTTTCCTTTCCCAAAGTCCTCTGAGATGGGACAATCAAGACCGAAACTGAAGTGAGGCATGGAAGCCTTCCAAATTGGAAAGATGAGAGCTTTTGCACCAGCAGTTTGCCTGGAGAAGCACCCATTTGTTTAATAGGAACTTTTTATGTCCCAGAATTTGTAGTAAGAAGCAGCTGAATCTAGACTGGACTGGAAAGTTATGGCATTCCTATCTCACGGATTCTCACACACAGATTGCCCTTAAGAATAACACATCCATGTCCTGTTATGGAGGCCAGAAAGCAAATACAGGTATTCCTTGACTTACAACAGTTCATTTAGTGACCAAAGTTATAACAACACTGAAAAAAGTGACTTACAACCATTTTTCATACATATGACCATTTGCAGTATCCCTGTGGCCACAGTGTCACAATTCAGATGCTTGGCAACTGGTTCACATTTATGATGGTTGCAGTGTCCTGGGATCATGTGATTCCCTTTGGTGACCTGACAAGCAAAGTCAATGGGGAAGCCGGATTCACTTAACAACCATGTTACTAATTTAACAACTGCAGTGAGTCACTTAACTGTGACAAGAAAGGTTGTAAAATGAGGCAAAGCTCACTTAACAAATGCCTTGCTTAACAACAAAAATTGGGGGCTCAATTGTGTCATAAGTCGAGGAGTACCTGTACTGAGATGTGGAATCATATTTGTT